CTACAGAGCTACAAAGAAACCCTGTCTCGAAAAACCGCAAACAAGCAAACAAACAAAAGGATGTGGAAGTCCTTCTCTATCTCCCACTCCTGGTGGATTTTCTTTCCATTTCTTATGTTTGTACACAGAAGCCCTGTGAGGCTCAGATCAGTAATGATCAAGTTGGCAATGGTGTGGTTTGTGTGCCTGGACTCTCAAAAGGCATGCATAAGAGGTTTTGACGCAGAAAGGGCTCTTTTCCCAGCCTTTTGGTTGAAAGCATTTAGAAGCATTTTCTGTTTGGAGATTCATCAGCCTTAAGAGATTGGGCCTAACAAGCTGCATCCTGTCAGTAAAGCTGGGTAGTTTCCATTGTTGGCCCATTCTGGGAAGGGAGAGACAAACACACCTGCTCGGCATGACTTGAAGCAAATAGAAGGAAGTTAGCATGGAGTCTGGATGAGAGAGATATGATTCATTCGGGGGGAATGGCCAGCTGGCACGGTTTCTTCCTGAGCTATAGCAAAACTGGAGCTGCAGCCATCACTAGCTCTTGTGAAGCCAAGCAGCTTCTTCATGATAGGAAGAAGTTCATTTTCAGGGCTTGGAGAAAGCAGAGGTCTGCCAAGGCTTTGCCAAAAGCAGTTCCTTTCTTCACCAGCCCCATTGGCACATCTCCGGGCCCCTCCTGTTCCTGTGCCACTTGCTTTCCCACTGGTCACTTGTATTTCTTGTAGGTAGTGTGCCAGCAGGAGTGATTTCAATTATTTCTGTATGTTAATGAGCAAGTAATAGGTCATTTGTATTCAGCAAGCGCTGTTGCCCAGCTTGCTGAGCTGGTATTTCGGATCTCTGCCAGTTCCCCAATGAAAGGAGAATGCTACCCTTAATAAGAAGTACTTTGGATCTCACAGAAATGACCCATGTGATCCTCCCTGACTAGTTGCCACTCCCTGACTTCGTTCCACCGTGCTCAGCCAGTTTTACAATGCGGTTTCTCGTTGGGGTGCTCCAGGCGTAACTGTGAGCAAATTTCTTTCCTTCTTTCAGATGTTCAAGCTGTTGCTTATGAGGAACCAAAGCACTGGTGCTCTATTGTGTACTATGAGCTCAACAACCGCGTGGGCGAAGCGTTCCACGCCTCCTCCACAAGTGTGCTGGTGGATGGTTTCACTGATCCTTCCAACAATAAGAACCGCTTCTGCCTTGGGCTGCTCTCCAACGTTAACCGGAACTCCACAATAGAAAACACCAGGAGACATATTGGAAAAGGTAAGTGTCCCTTTACCCCTCCTGCAAATGTTCATCTTTTGTTCCTCTAGAAGTGACCCGATGATTCTTGTGGTAAATGCCAGATGTTCAGACGCTGCTGTTTGAAGTATTTTTCGAATTCATATTATCTGGAAATTGTTCCAGTCATTGATCCTAAGATCCCATGATATTGTTAGCTGTCAGCTGACACTGCTTTGTTATTGTGGGGCACTACGCTGTCCAACATTTTGTTATAAGTGAAATATCTTTTAAAACAATTCTTACATTTATGTATTACATGTTTGTGTGTACATGTGTGTGTAAGTTCCTTGGTTAGAGGACAGCTGTGGAAGTCAGTTCTCTACTTCTGCCATGTGGATACTAGGAATCAAACTCAAGTCATCAGGCTTGGTGGCAAGCACCTCTAACCACTGAACCATCTCAGCATCCCAAATATCTTTCTTAGGGGACTTAACTATTTACTAGTGGTAGATTAAAACAGTTGTATAACATTTATATGTATTTATTGTATGATTAAGTCAATGACCAGATGTGTGGGTAGTGCTCAGAGCTTAGCTTTCCCTGTGGAACACAAAAACAAGAAGGGGTGTGGCATTCCTTGTGTGTTTCAGTGTAAAATCATAATTTAATGACATGACGTGTGTTTATATGCTCTTGTGCATATGTCTGTATGGGAGCCTGTCTATATATACCCTCTGAATATGAATGTGGTTTCTGCCTTGTTAGCTGAGAAGGCAAAGATACAAAATAGCAATAAGCACATCTAGTGTCCAGATCATTGCTGCAGATATCTATCCCCACTGAGGCAAACTGGCTGCCTCCAAATCTGTGATGAGCTGCGCCTGGTGCATCTCACGTGACACAAAGTGAAGACAAGTTTCTGAAAATGTTGGTGCCTCTCGGGATACAGCTGTCCGTGGCGGGTTTGTTCTGGGGTCCTGAGGACTAAAATCCAAGCGTGCTTAGTTCCCTTATCTAAAACAATGTAGCGTATCCTGTAACATGCATGCTCAGCTCCCTTACATAAAAAACAGTGTAGTGTGTCATGTAACTTAGGCATGTCACCTTTCAGGTGCTCTTACGATGACACTGCAGAGTCCACATTATGTAAATAGTTGTACTATTGAGTGACTCTGGAGAAGGCAACATTACTCTGTACGGTAATGTTGGTGCTATTAAAAAAATCACTTTTGATATGTGCATAGTTGAGACTGGATTCCAGATCCAGACATAATGAAAAGCAACGATGATTAACTGCAGTAGTGGATCTTAAGACATAACTCCTGGAACAGAAAATCAAGAATCCAAAGTCAGGTTTGACTACATACATAGTCAGATCCTATCCAGTAAGTAAACCCTAATTGATACTGCCATACTAATAGAGAAGTGAATTAATTGGCAAGTTCGGTAGCTAAATAGACAGTGAGTGCTAGAATGCAAACATCACCACTTTGTAACTAGTGTAGTAAGAATAGGACTGGTAAGATGGCACAGTGGGTAAAGGGGCTTTCGCCAAGCCTAACAAACTAAGTTCAATCTCCAGGACCACATGGTAGGAGAAAGCCAACTCTGATCTTCACACACATGATAGCACATGCCTCGCACACACATCACACACATATAGAACAAGTAAATGTATTAAGAACAAAATATGAAGAGAAATTTTTATGAGAATCGAGGTGTTTGCATGTTTTAAAGTATTTCTCCCCAAACTATTTTAGTTGCAAATAAAAATTAGTTGCAGCATAAAATTAATTATACAGTGGATAAAATCTGCATAGTCAGTAAATTGGTTGGTCCTCCGTCTTGAAGTCACCAATGAGTAGTGTATGTGTGGAAGGCAGAAGCAGGGAGATCTCTCAGGCCAGCCAGGACTACATCGTGAGACCCTGTCTCTAAGTAAATAAATAAAGTAAAAAGAGAACCAGCATCTACAGCAATTCATCAGGTAAAACGGTTATTTTAATAGGTGCTTGAGAAGACATTTGAGAAGATTTTTAACATTTATTCTTAGATTCAAAGAGGAAACCTAACAACTGTGGAACTTGGTGAACATTTCCTTAATTTGACCAAAGGAAGATGAGATGGAAATGACAGCCTATGGTGAAATGGTAGAACTTAGGTTCATATCACAGATGGGCATTTTCTTGTGCCTGGAGACCTCTGACATTTTCTGTCAATACGTTTAGAATGAAGGAGTGCGTATTTCATTAAATTTAAGGTTACTATTCCCCCAAAGTAGCAAAAAGTATGGTAGAATTTCCTCTTTAGGAAATTAGGAGGGAAGTAAGGATTCTAGGGATGCATTTAAAGTCCCTCCAGATGTCTGACTAACGGACCCAGTGTAGAATTAGGAATGATGAAGAAGCCAAGGTTACCTATCCTTAAGTAGAAGCTAAGGACTTACCTCTGGAACCGCAAGCAGGAAGCTAAGAGATCCTGTAGACATTATTGTAGATGTCATGACCAACTTGGTAATATTCTTGGGATGGATTCTCAGAGTGAAGCTAGCAGGCCAGGAGCTCTTGGTTCCATATACTTTTTAGAAAGTTCTTATGTGTTGATTCCCTTCAAGACTGTTCTGTCATTCTGCTTACCCAGAAGATTGTACAACCAGTTTCCTGACCTGTCACTGTGATGAAACACCATGAACATGGCAACTTAAAGAAGTTTATTTAAGTTCATGGTTCTGTCATGGCAGGGAAACATAGCAACAGGAGGCTTGGTGGCTGGGACAGAAGCAGAGGGCTCGAGGGCTCGAATCTTGAACCACAAGCACAAAACAAAGAGAGTGAACTAGAAATGGCACAAGACTTTAAACTTCCAAAGCCACCTGGAGAGATACTTCCTCCCACTGGGCTATGCTAGAGAGAGAGAAAAATCGAATATACAGGCAGCCTTTGTTCATTAAAGGGGTGGGTTAATACTGTGAAAACACTTCAAGTAGATAGTAATTCCTTCTAAATTTTTGTGACTTAAAACAAGTTAGATTACAGTGTGATGTTTTGTGGAAGCTGTACAGTATGATGCCAATATTACTTGAAAGGGTAAATAAGAATAGTTAAATTTTTTAATGGCTGCATAAAGAAAAAATGTGCCATTAGGACTAAAATGACATTGCAAAACTACAAATAAATAACTGTGTAGACAAAACAGTGCAATAAAATTGGACTCATTCTCTACTGACATAGAGGATAGGTTAGTGACGGCAGCAGGTCAGTGGCCTCCCCTAGTGGTCCTGAGTGTATACCATGCGTGTAAGTGATTAGTGTGCGTCTGTAAAAAGGCAAACAATTAAAAAGCTTTATGAAAATATATTTGATCTGAAAGGTAGTTTTCTATCTCAACAAAAATCATAAATTCAACTAAAGGGTTGTAAACGTCTCTGGGTTGAAACATATACCTAAATCTATTTATCTGTCTGTCTATGTATCATCTTTCTATACATGTTTACACATATGTAAAATGAATAAAATTGAAAGACAAAAGAGTAACAGGAAAATACAAAATAAATTATTTCTATCTAGCTCTAAATGCACAACTCATAAAAAAAAAATGATGATTAAGGGCCTACAACCGCAGTGGGGTAATAGGTGAGATGTCAAGGCAGTGAGTTCACAGGAGATACCCAAATGGCCACTAAACCAAGGGTATGCCCAGCCCCATGTGCAAATTAAAGCAATTCCCTTTGCAGCTGTGAACACTTGGCTTTTGTGTAAGCTCAGTGTCAGTGCTGCTGTGGGTCAGCTGATCATAGCACTCACAGTGCTGATGTAACACAAGCATTCTGGAAAGTCGTTTGGCAAAGTGATTCAAAGGCCTTCGATCCAGCCATTTAACTTCCAGGAATGCCTCTTACAGATATTAGTAAAAACCATCCACTGACATTTGTCATGACTGCAATAGTAGATAATTAGTGTCAACACTGGTCTGCTGAGGGAGCCTGGTTAAACAGAGCAGCACAGTCATACAGAAATGTGAGAGTTTGCAACAGAGGCTTTAATGATTGCAAAACTGGACACAGTACTGCAGACTATTAAATTAACAAGCATTTTTCTCTGTTGCTGAAGGAATGTCAATATTTTCCACATCTTTATATTTTCATATATTATCTTAATTTTCTAAATTAAAAAGTCATCATTTTTGATATGGGGGGTTTCTTCTTAAAAAGTTTTCTCTATATTTTTGCTCTTAAATATATCTATCTATATCACTAAACAAAATGGATTTCTGCCACAGTGGGTAGAGCTGATACTGGAGTCTTAGCCCTGTGTATCTGTAGAAATGCCACATGGTGTTTCCTCAGACAGTCACAGTAGCATTTTCTACTAAGCCGTTCCAGGGTAACCTGCAGGGCTCAAAGCCACACTACCTGCCTGTATGCTAGCCTCTTCTTACTCCCTCGTGAGGCTTAGCCAGAGGGTCCATCTTCCTCTTTAAAGATTTGCTTTTGTTTATTTTGTGTGTGTATAGCGGGGCACGTAGCAGTCAGAGGACAACTTTGCAGAATTGGTTGTCTCCTTCTTTCAGCTTTACTAGGAGGGGATCCAGGTCTCTGCCCCCTTCTCCCTGAGAAGGTGGGATGTTGCCTGGTCTCCCAGCATTCTAAGTTGTAAGAAGTTTTCAGTTACTGTTTTTAGTAGTTATTTCAGCGAGCTCTTATTTCACACAGCACTTTTTTTTTCTATTTAAAAGGCGTCTGTTTTTAACTAAACCTCATGTCTTACAGCTTCCAGCAGTATTCTTCAACCCAGGTTTCATTCCTCCGTGTTTATTGGTCATCCCTTCTCTCTCTCTCTGAAGTTTTCTGAACACTTTAGCCTTGGCATAAATGCAGAAGATTTTAAGCACACAGGATACCCCAGGAAACTACAGGTTTTATTAGGCTCTATTTTTAGAGTGTGCATATACTTTCAACTCTGGTCAAGCAGGACATCAAACACCAAAATGAAAGTGTCATGCTTTATTATTTTTGAGAGACTTTGTTAGTTCCCTAACACACTGGTTATCACAAGCATAATATGGTTAGCTAGATGTCTGTCAGAATGGCTATGTGAGTGGCCAAATTTGACTCTGCCTGGGTGCCTTTCACCCTATGACTGACATGATCTGTCCTCTCACAGGCGTCCACCTGTACTATGTTGGAGGAGAAGTGTATGCCGAATGCCTGAGTGACAGCAGCATCTTTGTGCAGAGTCGGAACTGCAACTACCATCATGGGTTTCATCCCACCACTGTCTGCAAGATCCCCAGTGGGTGTAGCTTGAAAATTTTCAACAACCAAGAGTTTGCTCAGCTATTGGCACAGTCTGTGAACCATGGTTTTGAGACTGTGTATGAACTCACCAAAATGTGCACTATTCGAATGAGTTTCGTGAAGGTGAGCAGTGCCCGCCCATCTCATTCAGGCCTGACCCCCCGCCCACCCCTGCTATTTCCAATATGTATACCTGTGCCTTCCTGGTATATATTCCTATCAGCGCCCAGCAAGAGCACCAGTGTCCAAGAGGTTGTCATGGGAACATAGAATATAGTCCTCTCCTCCCACCATGCAGGTCCCAGAGATAGAACTCAGGCCTCCAGGCTTGATGGCAGGCACCTTTATCTCCCCCTGCCCCCCAGCCATCTTGCTGTTTGTTCCTGGTCAAGCTAAGGGTTTAATGTAGTCCAGGCAGGCCTCTAGCTGGCTGAGGATAAGTTTGAAATCCTGATCCATCAGCTCTACATCTAGGATTCTAGGCCTGTGTGCCTCTACCACCCCATTGTCGGGGCTCTGGTATGCTGGGCCAGTGTCCCACTCACTGTGCTGTCCTCGGACCCATAGCTACTATAATATCATAGAAAATGTTATGTATTTAACATGAAGCTTAAATGCACGACCATTCTATGAGATCAGCTAAATAAATGTGTCTTTGTTCTTCTCTGCTTTTAGTATGGTCAGGATGCTGGTGCTTATTGGTTATAGATAGTATGATCTTGCATGGTCTGTGGGGTGGCTCAGGAAGAAAAGGCACCTATGGCACTTAGATTCTTGGTGGGACCCGTGTGATAGAAAGACAGAACCAACTCCTTCTAATTTTTTCTCTGGCTTCCACGTGTGTATATATCCACTCACACACAGGGCTGGAGGGAAATAAATGTAACAAAATAAGTAAGTGGAAAGTTAACCACACTGGAAATTATTTTAAGTTGGTCATATATTTTTTTAAGTATTTCTAGTAAATCTTGTGCCTTGTGTATACCTCAAAAGTTAGCAGGGCTCTTGCCTTTCACGCTGAGTGTTCTGCAATATCGCCGAAAGGAGAGCATCCAAGTCATTGCTTAGCTCTGTCCTCTTCTGTGGCTAAGACAGAAGTTTTTAAGAAGCTATTGAAAAATAATTTTTTAAGTGTGTATCTGATGACAGCACAGTCTAGTAACTGCCTGGTCTCTGAAGTCTCCATGATAAGTCTTTATCCCGCTTTACCTTGAGGAAGAGTGCTAATTACACGCCTGGGTGAGGCAGTCATCTTTCATGTGCTGTCTTCAAAAGCTCTCTGACTTCTTGTTGGGCCTGTTTAGTGATGTGTTCATCACCGGGGTTGAGTCCAGAGCCATGCTTTGTTCATCGTCATCCAGATCAAAGGAGTTTTCCTCCTTCTGGCCAAATGTGGTGCCTCTTTAACCCTAAAGGAGGCCTTTCTTTGCCCCTTGAAGAAGTTGTCCTGTGTGTCATATACAAATGTGACCACAGAGTCTCTCCTTGTTCATTATTCACGAGCGCCATTTATTTTTGACTTCACATTTTGGCTCAGATGATTTTTAAAATGAGGCCAGCAACTTGCCGAAGTGCTTATTGTTGGAAGGGAGAACTCCTTAGTGGTTGTGTTAACTGGTTGAGGTACAGGACTTTCTCAGACTTTCTGCTCTTGACCTGTAAAATGGGTCTGGGTGGCATTGGGACCTTGGTAATTATTCTCAAGGTCCCTTGATGGCGCTGTGATTATTGAGTTTTTAAAGAAGCTTTGGTTCCTGTGCTCCAATAAGCTTTCTCCTTGCATTTGACTTCAAAAATGCATTACACAACTAGCAGTTAATAGTTACTTTTGTATAGCTAAAAACATTTACTTTAATATAAGGTATTTAAAGATTTATTCCTTTACTCTTATCAGTGTGTGTGTGTGTGTGTGTGTGTGTGTGTGTGTGTGTGTGTGTGCGCACCCATGGAGGTCAGAAGAGGGTGTCAGATCTCTTGTACCAGGAGTTAGAAGCGGTGGGTTTCTGGACCAAAGCTCAGGTCCTCTGGAACAGCAGCAAGTACTCTAAGCTGATAACCCATCTCTTCAGCCCAAAGCTACATTCAGAATTTGTTAACATCATTCTTCCAGCAAATACCTTACCACTATTCCAAAAAGACAATACAAAGAGAAAAAAAATGCTTCTAAAACATTTACCTTCAAGATGCATATGGCTCCCAGTGGGTTTAATAATAATACCACAGCATAAAAAAAATTTAACATGCACTAGCATGGAAGCCTGTGCAAGGTGTGATGGATATGGCTGGGGGTTTAGGATAGACAAATCCTACTAAAGAACGAGCTGGTGGGCTGGAGAGACGGCTCAGCAGTTCAGAGCATTTGCTGCTCTTCCAGAGGACCTGAGTTCTGTTTCGAGCACCACTCCAGGCAGCTCATAATTGCCTGTAACTCTGTCTCCAAAAATCTGACACCTTCTTTTGTCCTCCATGGGTACATGCGGACACATGCACTAGATGCTTGCACATACACATAATAAATAATAAATCTTCTTGAAAGCTCGGTCACCATAACATAACCATCACCACACAAGACATCATATGTTGGCCTCAAAAGCTTTGCATACTTTCTGTAGCTCTGCAGAGAAGGAGCCTCAATTCACTGCTCTTCCAAGTGTCTTGTAGAAATGGTGCAGGGTGTCTTTCTACCATTAATAGGCAGTCTCATGTTATTTTTAGATGATTTTTGTTGTTTACATAAAATTATACTTTAATGAATGTTAAAAACCAAATCCTCCCTATCTGAAAAATCCAAATCGGTTTGGCCCAGAAAGTATCTGTGGAGCTTCTGTCACATACTGGTGACCATCTTGGATGCTGGAGGTCAGTGGTAAGCCCCCATCTTCAAATAACTCACTCTCTGAAGAGACAGACCTGCATGGTAACTGTCACTGTTGAATATTCAAACCCAGGGACATACATGCATATACATGGGTGGAGTTCATGTGCCCCAACTTTGTCCTAAAAGTTTTCATATTCTGTGTATTTCTTAAAACTGATGCAGAAAGTATGTAGCAGAGGTCAAAGACTCTAGTGGCTATTATTCTTTACAAGCAAGGATCAGGCAGAACTTTATGCTTTTCTTATCACCCACACGAACACCATTTTTTATTTTCAACTTAAGACAGTCTGACTGTATAACCCAGGTTAGCCCTCAAACTCAGTGTGGCTCAGACTGACCTTGAAGTCATGATCCTTCTTCCTCAGCCTCCCACTAGTGCTGAGATTACAGGTGTATCCTGTTACCTGGCTTTCATGGTGACTTCTGTGGAGCATTCTTGTCCTACCTGGTCATTCTGAAGCCATCTAGCAAACCACCTTCTTGGCCAGATGCATGCCAGAACCTGTTGCTTCAGGGCAATGACTAGGTATCAAGAAGAACTTTGGGAATGTGTAACTGTTCTTCTGTCAGTTTCACTTGAGACTGAAAGATCAAGAGATCTGTGTTGTTGACAGAAGAATTTCAGATGTCAGTGGGGAAGAAGCAGAATGTCCGTCTGTCTGACATCACCTTCACTGTAAAGGCAGAATTCAATGATAGCTGTGACAGGGCTGGGGATGTCACTGAGGCCTGTGAGAGGCCTTGGGTTTCCATCCTGGTGTCACAGAAATGGGTAGAAGGGTACTAATCATGGTAACCCACACCTGTAATCCCAGCACATGGGAGGCTGAAGCCTGAGGATTGCCACAGGTTTGCAGCTAGCTGGACCATATAGTGAATTTCAGTCCAGCTGGGCTACAGAGAAAAACGGTGTCTGAAAGAAGAAAAAAAATAGGGCTGAGGAGACAGTCTGTGAAATGTTTCCCATGCAGCCATAAGAACTGGATTTGGATCCCCAGTACCCATTTCAAAAAGAAAAAAATGCCAGGGAGCTGGTGAGATAGTTTTGTGGGTAAAGGAAAGACACTTACTGCACAGCATGAAACAGAGGGTGGAATGTTTCACCTCCTCTTAGAACACTCGGCATGCTGTGCAGTAAGTGCGGTAAGCATGCACCCAAGTTCGGTTCCCATGAGGCACGTTGTATGACACTGTTCTTGAGGAAACAGGAACAAATGTCTACTCACCTCAGAGAGGAAACCAATGACAGACCAAAGTATGGGTACCATTGAAGTTCAGCTTGGAGAACCATTGAGTTTTATTGGGGTTACTTAGAGGAACACAAATGACTCAAAGACAGCTACATCGCCAAGAGCCCACCCCAGCATGGGTGGCCTCTCTCAAAAGCTGAGAATCTGGAGTTTGCTACCTATATGCAGACAGCTCAACAGGCTGGAGCATGTCATCCCAGAAGCAGGCAGCCTAGGCGGTCTGAGTGTCTCAGCAGTCCTTACTGCTCATATCAGCCTGGGGAGGGAGGGCCTTGTGAGTCTGGTCAGTTTCAGGGACTTTCTAAAGTTTTTAAGATGTCTGCTTCCTAAGTTTTAAGGAGTTTGTCTAGAGGGTGGAATGTTTCACCTCCCCTTAGAACATTCAGCAATTCTGGAGCTTCCCCCTAAGACAGGTTTTATCTTTGAAGAAATTGCTACACAACACGTGTGAAAGGTGAGAGGAGAACCAACTTCACAGATTTGTTCTCTGAGCTCCACATGCACACTGTGGTGTACATACATACACATATATGCAACAACAACAAAAAGCTGGGTGCAGGGCTGTGTGTAGTCCCAGCATGGGAGACAGATAGGATCCCTTAGGCTTGCTGGCCGCCAGTCTAGCCTGTTTGGCAAAAGTCCATGTGCAGCAAGAGAACTCATCTCAGAAAATACAATGCAGTGTGATTGAAGAAGACGGCCAGTGTAGACCCCTGTGCTCTCCAGACATGGACACACAGATAAAGGGTCAAGGGATTGTTCAGTTAAAGGTGTAGGACTCTTAAAGAGGCCCTGGGTTCAGTCCCAGCATCCAGCTGAAGTGGATCACGAGAGCCTGTAACTCCAGCTCCAGGATCCAACATCTTCTGAACTCCACAGATACCACACATTCATAGGAAGAGGCCCTGGGTTCAGTCCCAGCATCCAGCTGAAGTGGATCACGAGAGCCTGTAACTCCAGCTCCAGGATCCAACATCTTCTGAACTCCACAGATACCACACATTCATAGGGAACTCCATACTCACATACATATTTGCACAATTTTTAAATAAAATATTAAAAAAATAAGTAAAGCCAGTTTGATAATACATGCCTTTTATTCCAGTGCTCAGAAATCAGACAGGTAAGCTCTGAGTTTGAGGCCAGTTGGGTCTACATAGGGAGTTTAGGCCAACCAGGGCTACTCAGTAAGAATATGTCCTAAAAGTATAAGTAAGTAAGTAAGTAAGTAAAGTTTTAACATAACAGTAATGTAGTGGGAAATAAATATTTAAAATATCTTTTTGTTTTGTTTTGTTTTTGTTTTTCTGAGACAGGGCTTCTCTGTGGCTTTGGAGGCTATCCTGGAACTAGCTCTTGTAGATCACGCTGGTCTCGAACTCACAGAGATCCCCCGGCTCTGCTTCCTGAGTGCTGGGATCAAAGGCGTGCACCACCACTGTCCGGCCAAAATATCTTTATTCAAACAACTATTCAATGTATTTTAAATTTTTAATTACCCAAGACTAGTAATTTTTATTTATTTATTTAAACAAGGTCTCATTCTGTACCCCTGACTGGCCTGGAACTCACAGAGATCTGCCTGTTCCTGCTTCCCAAATGCTGGGATTAAAGGCATGTGCCACTACACCAGACAAAATAGGTGATCCTGGGGTCCTTGGCTAGACTTTTGGTGGCCAATGTCCATCCCCAAAAATTACCCACCAAATTACCCATGCATTTGTGGTATGTTTGTTTTCTTGTGGGACATAGCCAAGAGTCCAAACATAATTATGTGAACTGATCATATGATCTTTTTACTTGGTAGGGTGACTCAATGAGATAAAGAGTTAAATGACACCATTGTGCTTTCTTTTTCCTAGGGTTGGGGAGCCGAGTACCACAGGCAGGATGTTACTAGCACCCCCTGCTGGATTGAGATACATCTGCATGGCCCTCTCCAGTGGCTGGATAAAGTTCTTACCCAGATGGGTTCGCCCCACAATCCTATTTCCTCAGTGTCTTAAAGGGCCTCGGCTTCTGTCTCTTGCAAACTGTTGAGCCTTGCATGTACTTGAAGGATGGATATGTCAAGACGGGTGAAGACCTGACAAGGGAGCCTTGATAATACTTGACCTCTGTGACCAACTGTTGGATTGAGAAATTAACAAACCTTGGTAACATGCTGTTGATATCAAGAATCTGTTTAGTTTACATTGTGACATTCTGTTGTATGATCAACTAAAATGTTGACTTTTAGCAGGACTTTTGTGTATAGTTTTAAAAGAGATGGCCAAGCCAGGGACAAATTATCTATTAGAAGAAGAACAATCCTGAGCAGTCCTTTTGTTTGGAGTGTTTGGCATAATGTTACGCTAATAGTCTTTGAAGTATGCTCTTCATCAGGTTCTGAGCCCACATTGAATCATCTTCTCATGGGTTTTCATAATATTTTAAAACTGTTTGTTTAGAAATGAATGGGGTTCTTTGTTTTTAAAGGTGAATCTTTATGACATATATAGTATTCTTTCTAAAACCGTATGCTGACTGTAGTGCTGTCTGAATGACGTCAGGCTTGTACTCTTTGCTAAATATGTATATACAGAATATTTGGAGGTTAGGAATAGTCTAAATGGCTAGTGGATCTAGAAGGTATTTGTGGGTGGGGTCGGGGAAAAGAAATGACAACCGCAAACGTAGACTATGCCATAACATTGAGTTTGTTGTCTTAAATGAGCAAGCTGGTGTCTGAATTTGCTGTGTTTCAGTTTTTTAGAGTTTTATCTGACTTTTTTCCTTTCTTTTCTTCTATCTCATCTGCTCTACACGGAAGTTAAGCAGCTGGTTAATTCCTGTAACTGTGAGAGCAAATGAATAATTCCTTTTATTTGCAAATCAACTGGCTTTGTGTTTCAGTGCCCGGTATATGAAAGGCTTGAATTTAATGAGCAGTTTTTACAGAGTTTACAATACAGGCATAGGCTTTAATTTCCAAATGAATTGTTTGCCAAACCTAGTAACCGTGTTCATTAGTCACAGGTTTAAAGAAGATCCTTATTGGAATCCATTTCAAACATTTTTATTTTGTTTTGGTTTTTTATACTGTTTGGTTTTGTTTTCTTCTGTTAATTTTTTCTATTCTCCTCTGCTCTTATACACTGAGTACCTTTATCCCAACACTAGCGGGTTTTCTCTACTGGACAATTTTAAATAAACCTGTCATTATTGCTTCCTTTGATTAAAAATGTGTCATTTTCTTTCTTTGCTTGTTAAAATTTGGGATCGGTAAGATGTGGTCTTTTGAGTGCTCTCACCAGATACAAAAAGCTCGTTGGTAAAGTGGGGACACAGAACCTGGCTTGCTAAAAGAGCAGAGTGATCTAAAGTCAGGAGAAAGGACACATAAAGCTGGGAAAAACTAAGGGAAAAGCAATGAAGGAGGGCATGTACCATGGTGCACCTGTACAGATTACAGGGTAGCTGATGGAGCTGGTCCCCTCCATGATGTGAGTTTCAAACATCAAACAGGTCCTCCGGCTTGGCAGCAAACCCATTTCCCACTGAGCCTTTCAGCAGCCCACAAGTGTGTGAGCTTTTTATTCAAGGGGCTTCGCAGTAGCATAGTTTCCCAATCTGAAGGGTAACCATAGGGGAATGTAGCCAGGGCAGGCCAAAAACTGAACGCACAGGAGAAAGTTACCTTTGTGCAGTTTTACTGGGATGGGATGATCCCCCTCCCCCTTTCCCACCATGGGTAGTTTTTAAAATTTTTTCTGAAAAAGAAACAATTTGAGGTCATGTTCTCTAGCCACACAAATGCCACTGTTTTACCTCACATTCTCTCCTGGAATTGGTGTACAACCCCAAAATTTAAGGGTCTACTGCCCCCCACCAATTGAAATCCACTTTAAAAGAAAAGAATGCCTTGCTCCCCACCCACTGAAACTACAAAATGTATCCCCATAAACAGTGATCCAAATTTCTGCTTGTTACTGTTGCCTCCAAAAAACATCAATGGCAAGCAGAGGAAGCTTAGGCCAGGAGACCTTCACTGTTACAGTTTCCTGCCCACCCTTGCTACTTGCTAGACTGCTTGGCTTCTGTGGACCTCTCCATGCTCATTGACTGAGTGGAGATGGCAGCATCACACATTTGAGCCGGGATCATTCAGCTAAAGTTATGAATACCCTAGAAATGTGTCACAAATTCAAGAGCCACCTTTCTTGAACCCTCTGTTTTTTCCATTGGCCTAGATCGTTAGTGTGCCTGTGACCAGCATCAGTAAGATAGGTTTTGTTGTTGTTGTTGTTGTTTTATTATTATTATTACTAAAACTGGACTGGGAAGAGGCCCAGCAGGTAAAGGATGAGTGTGATTATCAGAGTTTACACCCTACAGCCCACGTAAGTGTGGTTGGGTGTGGCAGCCTGCCTGCAATTCCAGCCTAAGAAGGTAGATAGGATTCCCCTGAGCATTTTGGCTGTGGGGACTAGCCATATCCATGAGCTCTAGATTTGATTGAGAGACCCTGCCTCAAAGAATAAGGTAAAAGTTCCATCAAAACTGATTCCTGACATCAACCTTGGGCCTCTGCATGCATGTGCGTGCACGCGTGGGCACATACACACCCTTGAAAACAACAAATGGGAATAAATAAAGTTACCATTAAGAATGATGTATAACTGAAGATGGTATAAAAATAAAGAGCTCAGGTCAAGTTCTCTCCTTGGTGGAAAGCTGCCTTTGCTGTTCTTGAGTTCCTTTGTTGGGCAGTTAGTGAGTTGGGTATTACACTGTGACTGCCTTGAAGATGTACTAAATAAAATACAAAGATCATTCCATTCATTGAGACCTACTAGATGGAGACTCTGGGGTATGCAGTGTGGTGTATAAAAAGGCCTTTTGTACTTAAGAGCAGGTATATGGAATTCTAGTAAAATCTTAATGAAAAAACATTCTCATCTGCTGTAGGAGGTCAATGAGCAAGTCTTTCGGGAATGTTTTGTTAAAGTAATTAGAAAAATCAAAGCATCTATTTGTCTAGAGATTGAGAAAACAAATGAAGCTCAAGAAAATGACAAAGATGACGTGGGCTGTTTTTTGAGATTCAAAGCCAGGATGATTAGAAGTGGAGAGCCCTGGCCCTACCACCTCCAGCGTTTGACAGAACTGAAGCTCCAGCCCTGGCCTTGTCAGCAGTTTCCCTATGTTTCTTGCACATGTTCCCTCGTCTATACAATGGAGACCGTAAAGCTAACCTGACTGGTCATCGAGAGATTAACTGAACAGACACAAAGCGCTTAGAGCTCCACTGTAAATGATTAGCTCTGATTAAGATCCTGTCTGCGGGACTAAAGGAAGGACAGGGTACGAATGCCCGGGTCTCTGCCGTAGGCACCAAGCCAGGGGCTTCCTCACATTGTTTCTCTTCCTCTCAACAACACAGGAGATAGTTTCTACTCTTTCCATAACTCAGGTTATCCTTTGCTGGAATAAATGATTAAGATGCCCAGTGTGTCAAGAGAAACAGTCTTTTCTTAGCGCATAGTGTGGAGGTTGTGATTTGTGACTTGACAGGGCAGACCCAACTCTGTGAGGGACGGAGGGCAGCATGTTATTACAGGAGCATGGGGCAGAAACGAACTAACTGCCCACCTCGTGGCTGAGCTGCAAGGGAATGTGGGATTCGTGTCTCCCACTATCCCCTTTGAAAGCATGCCCCAATGGCCAAAGACTTCCAACTAATTCCCACCTCTCAAAGACTTCATCATCTCCTGATAGCACAATTCTGCAAGCTAAGCCTATAACACAATAGACCACTGAGTGACAGTTTTGAAATGCTGCGCTCAGAGCATACCAGCCATTACCTCCTTAAGCAAAACAGCCCTGACTGCCTGCAAGAAACTCCCAAAGTCAGGTCTCTCCTGATGTTCTCTCCTAGGGAAGAGTCCTCAGACTCTCCCCTGACATTCTAGCCACTCCTTCCTGGCCCTCCATCCCAGCTATAGGTAACCACAAGTTGTGTGTGGTCTTGATTGCTGCTTGAGTAGGATAGAGTGCGGATGGCTAACTGAAGTAGAGAGACCCCATCTACACAGCCATGGGAGTCATCCACATGGGGCAAGGCTTCAGTGATGTGACTGCTTGTGGTTACCCATGCTCCTCTAAGTAGCCTCTCACCATGTAGTGTACATAAGCACAATGGACTTCCTGTGTCACCAAACTTGATGTGGCTAGAATCATTCTGGAGAAGTTTGTTCACACCTCCTCGGGAAAGGGTCATACAACAGTGATGTTCAAGACAAAACTGCACATCATGTTTAATATAAATAAACCAACCCAGAAGCTATCTTGTCCAAAGTTCCCTAGTATAAACAAACTTACTGCCAAATAAGGAGAAAGCAACAAGAGAGGAAATCATGTTGAATTTTGTTGAAGGGAGATGGGTAAAGGTTTTACAGAGGAAGTGGCATTCAAGGTTGAACATTTGGATAATTAGAGAAATTTCTAGGTAGAAGAGTCAGTTCAGACATACCTGTGATATGCCTATTATTTGGTTTGACCTCTGAAAATGCACCTCTGTGATATCTGCATGCTAACTAGAGATTCTACCTTCAAAAGACTGGTGAAGGAAAATATGTACAAGGTAACAATGGAAAAGTACAAGTAGGAGAACCAGGTGTATTTGGAAGTACCAATGCAAGTGTAGGGAAGTTAGGCAGGAGTCACACAATTAATGATCTTGGGCACATCAGACTAAAGGGTGGGAATCGTTTTCCTCCTATGATTTTAGACCCTTGATCAATGACATCACTTGAGGATCAAACATGCACCCACAATGCAACTCCAGTGAAGGATACCAGAAAGGAACAGAGAAGAATCACAGAAAGCAGGGTTTCTTCAAGCAAGTTTTGATTTACAGAAGGGCCAACACAAGACAAGGGCAAGGCCTGAGAATAGGAATTACACAGCCATTGCTGACCTATGAGTTTAGGGGTTTGTTTGCTCCTTTTCCCATTGTTGTGATAAAATACACTGACAAAATATCTTATGGGAGAAAGATTTTATTTTATCTCCATCATGGTAAGGAAGTCAAGGCAGCTGCTGGTCACATGACATCCATGATCAGGAACAGAGGGCAATGTATGCAATGCTGTAGGTCAGCTCCCTTTCTCCATTTACATAATCAAGGATCTCCTCCAGGGAATGAAGCCACCCACGGTGGGCATGTCTTCCCACCCCAGTAAACATAACAACATAATGCTCTACAGGCATGTTCATGTGCCCATCTCCCAGGTGATTTTAGGTTTTGTGAGGTTGACAGTTATCTAACCTTTGGGGACGGGCAGCCAACATGTGAAGGTTTGGAAGCTTAAGCTGAAAGGAGTGGAAGCAGTATATTTGATTTCCTGAAGTTTATTGGTGAGAAGGAGACAAAGGTGGAGAACAGAACACCGAGGCTGGAAGAGAAGTAAATAGGAAGAAAGCCTGTGCTAGGACAGGAGCTGTGAGACATCTGTTTCCCTGGTGAGTCATCCACAGAAAGCAGTGAAGACTGTGCTGAAGATGGGCCAGTCAGAGCAGCTGCTGCGAGAGGGAAGAGACCACTGGTTAACAAACCAAGCATCCTCGGGAAGAGTTGTGTGCTTCACTGAGTGGGCAGTAGGCCTGCTGCTTATGCATTTCCACAGCTAGAACTAAACATCAGAGAACAAGAATGTGGTCAAGTTCCTAGAGCTGAGGTTGGTAAATAGAGCAGTCCTGGGGAAGTTCTAGCAATCCATGACTCTCATAGGGGTGATGGCTGTGTGGCTATATTGCTTATCTCCACCATATTGTGACCATACCTGTCTTAGTCACTTGTCTCATTGCTGTGGTCAGATACCTGCCAAGAGCAGCTTACGAAAAGAGGGTTTTTGGCTCACAATTGCAAGTCGCAGTCCACCATAGTGGGAAAGGCGTGGCAGGAGCCTGAGGCAGCTGGTCCAGGGCATCTCCAGTCAGAATGCAGACAACAGTGACTTCTGGTGCTCAGCTAGCTTTCTCCTTTTTATTCAGTCAGGGACCCCAGCCCATAGAATGCTGCCGTCCACATTTAGGGTGGGTCTTCCTACTTCCAGTTAACCTAATAAGATAACTTTCACAGGCATGCTCTGAGATGTGTTGCCATGGTGATTCCAAGTCTCATTAAGTTGAAAGTGAAGATTAGATATTAACAACTCCCAAAATATTTTTTTAACAGTGA